GTGTGTGTGTGTGTGTGTGTGTGTGTGTCAGTGTGTTGTCAGTGTGTGTGTGTGTGTGCGTGCGTGCGCGTGCGTGAGTGTACAACAAACTTTCTCACGTGCGTGCGTATTTGTGTTAGTGTTTTTAGGGAACCAGTGAACTCGTCACACGGTGTAGTCGACACAGCTGAAAAACGTGTGGTGAGTTCACGGGAAAAAAAGTCTCCAAATAACAGTGAAATCGTCACACAACCTTCCCCGTGTAAAAAACGGGTAGCAACGTTCGGCGTTAGTGGGCAAGATATTTTTGCATAGAGTAAGGACAAGCAAATTTTAACAAGGTTATATAGTGCACGAGAAAAAGAGTGCTGAAAAGTTACATCGAGCCAATCCTATTGTACGGGTGCGAAGCATGGACAATCGATAAACAGCTGGAAAGGATAATTGTGGCGACAGAGTTGTGGTTCATAAGACGCATGCAACGTATCCCATGGACAGCAAGGAAAAACAAATGAAGACGTCTTGGTTGAAGCAAATTGCAGAAGACAGCTTAAGACGAATATACAAAAGCGACAGGCAAATTTCTACGGACACACAATGCAGAAAGAAGCCTTGGAGAATATTGTAACAACAGGCACGTTTGATGGAAAGAGAGGCAGAGGCAGACAGAAGGAAAAGATACTGGACAAGATAACAACATGGCTAGGAGCAGCAAGAACAATAGACACCATTGCTGCAAAGCAAGACAGTGAAGTGGAGGTCCATGATCGCCGACGCCAGTCGACAAGGCACCGGAGGATGATGATGATAGTGCACCCAAAAATGTGTCCGTTTTCGCTTTAAAATGTTGAAACATAAAGGATGACATGATTAGATTTTGATTGCAAAAACTCTGGTATTGTATTTTAAAAAATTAAAAATTAAAGGTTGACAAGTGTGGATTTGCCTGCCAATCCAAGGTGAACTCGCCACACATTTTTAACATGTTCCGAGTCTGTAACGAGATAACTGTGACGAGATCACTGGAGGTATGTGACGACTTCACCGTGTGACGAGTGAGTTGGAAACCTTTTTTTTTTTTTACCGGGGGATAACAGGTAACCTGTGGTTAAAATAAAATGGACTCTCATAATAATAATTGATTGTCCACAGAGTAGATATATCCAATTAGTAATACGAAGGAAGATACTTATTTGTCGTTAACGCATCATTGCTTTTGCTCTTTTTGCTGTTTTGCTGTTTAGATTTAGTGTGGACGGTTGGCGGGTGCTCTGATGTTACTTGCTCCATCTTTCCTATTAAACATCAATTGTCCTTACCTCTCCTCCTTTTTTGTTTGTTACTGCTTTGTAACACTTGTAATCTTTGGTACTCAAATGACTTATTATGTAGCAAGTGCAGCAAAACGGTTACTAAAAAGTAAAAAATTGTTAGTTTTTAGTAAGAGTAAGAGTTTTATGGCACTTGTTACACATTAGGTCAAATACGTGTCGAAGAGAGACGTTTCTTGAGAATAACATACCAAAAAAAAGTAGGGGAAAATATATTTTAAAAAAATACATATAGATAAACATATAAAGGAGGAGAGATAAAGACGATATTTTTTATTTTATAGAGGAAGGGGCGTATCTCACCAGAGCAGTCGTCAACCACCCACCTCTTACTGATCTAAAGTAAGAAAAGGTTACCCATTACTTAAATGATATAGCATGTCGATATTTGTTGCAAGATCTTAAGAACAAACGAATAAAGTAAAATCTGAATACTAACGCCTTATATTTATTTTTGTGGTAAAATCGGTGATCGGTATTTGTGTGCTTGCTTATATACTCATATATTATTATTATATATATGATGTTATATATCAATATACACATACATGTTTATATTATAATATGATATAATATACATGTGCTTGGGGGGATGGGGTGATTGTGTGTGTGGAGATGTAAGGAAAGGAAGAATGAGACAGAGAAGAAGTGAGAGCGAGTGAGCGAGTGAGTGATCATGAGTGAGAGGCGGAGAGATAGAGAGAGAGATAGAGATAGATAGATAGATAGATAGATAGAGAGAGAGAGATAGATAGGTAGAGAGAGAGAGAGAGACAGAGAGACAGAGAGAGAGAGAGAGAGAGAGAGAGAGAGACAGAGACCGAGACAGAGACAGACAGACAGACAGACAGACAGAGACAGACAGACAGACAGACAGACTGACAGACAGACAGATAGACAGACAGACAGACCCCCACCCCCCACCCCCATGGCAATGCTACTGA